ATGAGCAGAGCAGTGCTGCAAAAATGCCAACATTTATGTCCAAAGTGACTTAAATTTAACCTAAAAATTGGCACAAACTGATTGGTGTCCAGAATGACTCAACTTGCCAAAATTGAGAAAAATGTGCACAAAATATATGAAAAATACATCAAATGATCAAATACAAATCGTGTAATTATTATTATTATTTTTTAGATTTTTGATGTGGACATTATGTACAGTTTTGGACAAGATTTTGCAAAGTCAGTGTTTAAGCTTTTCTCTGCAATTTTACTAGATAGTACCTGTAATGTAACATATCAAATTTAAAAAAATATCTATTTAAAAAAGTAATAATAATAATATTTTTTTATTTAAAAGCACCTTTCTGGACACCCAAGGACACTGTACAGAAAAACAGAAAAATAAAATACAGGCATGATAAAGGATAAAAAAAACAACATACAATAGTAAAGGCAGAGGGACGATGTGGAGCGCTTAAGTCTGAACAGATGGGTTATCAGGGAGATATGTGAAAGAAAAAAAGAGTTTAAAAAAAAAAAAGGTATTATTTCTCAACAGTTAATATAATTTTTTTCATCTTTCTCTTCTTTCAAATACGTTTAGTTTGTACTGATTATAAAACAGTAAATAGAAAATAACAAGCTATTTTATAGTTATATTGGAGAAGTTGGAAAACCTGTAAAATAAGAAAATAAAACAGTATATTATTTAAAATATTTGTCAAAAATTGTAAAAACAAAACTACATTTCTGCAAAGTCTCTCACTCAGACATTTCTCCCTCCTTCTTCATGCTTGTTCTGTTTCCATCGAGCTGCAGGACTTTATGTTGTAGTAAAAAATGAGCCACAGTAAATAGAAATGTGACACCAAGAAACTGTTTGGGGATCAGAGGGCTGAAGTGAATCCGGTTCAGATCCAGCCACAGCCTCACCGAGCCGCTAACTCGCCTGAAGACGCTTGTTTTTATTCGTACCACTCGTTCAAACACAAACTCTCTGAGTGTCCGTCGCTGTACGTCTCAATTATTCATCCGTTAGTTTGAGCTTCTTTAGGCTCAGACTGCTGCAGGCTTTTCTCATGGCAGCCGCTTATTGTGGCTGGAAATATAATAAATACCAGCACATTTGTAATCATACGTTCATCGAGCCGCCCTGCACTCTTCCCCTGAAGCTGCAGAAACACCTGCTGCAGACACCTCATTAGGACCCAAAAGTTGAGGAAATTCACACCAAGTCCTTTAATTACTGACTAGAAAATAAAATTTTTATGAGTCAGTCATTGCAAAAAAATGTAGATAATGAACATGTTTAGGGCTGCACATGTTGAGAAAACTAATATTCCAATATTTAGTTTAACTGCACTCACAATAAAACTTTTTAGCAGATGACTTTAATAACTCTTGTTTTGAAAGATTTAATCATCCTGGAATGATTGGGATTTTGTAGGAGAGTAAATCTACATTGAAATTTTATCAAAAATACATTTTAAAAAATGCAAAAAAAAGTTTCCAAATACAAGCAAATGCATCCAGAATTTGTGTAAAATTTCCATACAACCAATTTGTTTTTGCAACCACATCTGTTTTTCAGTGTTTCCCGCTCATGTTGCTGTGCACATGTGGAGCCTGCAGGTCAACAAACTCTGTGTATTTAAAATAAAGTTACTAAAACCTTCAAATCAGAGGGAATCCAACACACTTTTCTTGCAGTTTAATCATGAAAAAATGTGCAAGTTTTCGTTTTGCATCAAAAACAAAGTCGTGTTTGTGTGTCGATGCTGAAGCGATGTCTTCTGCAGCCCCTCCGATGCATTTCACACAAAGAGAAAAGATCATATCCTAATATTTTAAATCAAATGTCACCCTCAAGCCAGTAAATCAGAATCTTAACAAAGCAGCTCATCAAGTCGGGGGGAGTGCGATTCATTTAGCACAATGCGACGTGCTGCTCGCTGACATTTCCTTCAAAGGGTCCGCGCTTTATGCATCTGTAGGCTAATTGTCTCTTGGCCTCTATCGCTGGGAGACCAATGATTGAAGCTGCTGTATGCACATTGATTTACATGGTCGGGGCCATTATCTGCCATATCGCCCAAACAAGAGAATACAATCAGCCGGAGCTCCGTCATGAATAATGCAACCATCGACTCTACATCCTGCCATCGTACGCGCAAACAGACAGAAACGGACGCACGCTGGCTCTCGACGTCGGTGAAGCGCCGCCTCGTCCCCTTTGAAGGATTAACAAGAATGTCAATTAAATGCCAAAGAGGGAAGCTCTGAGCTGATCCCAACAAGGGCTGTTGCGTAACGTCGGGTGTGGTCGTCCACCGGCGGCGAGCGAGGAGCGAACTTTCTCCTTCAGACGTCTCTGCACCGTCTTGTTTCTTCAAAATACTTCCACTTTGCATCATTTGAGCGTCTCATCCTCACATCTCAGGTTGAAATCTCATGAGATCGGGGGTGCAGAGGACGATTTAAGAGCATCAGTCAAAGTTCAGCGGTTAATTTTCATGCAGCGTTCAGCGAAGTTAAAAAAAAAAGTCTCTCCCTTTGATAGGATTAAATGTTAATTAAATAACAGCCGATGCAGTCCGGCGTGCGCGAGGTGTGAAGAGGAGCTCGCGTTTGATGTCAGGGCTTGTTTTCTTGATGCTGAAGGCGCATCTTTAAAGGAAGGAAGTGTCGGTTAACGCAGAGCTCTGCTGGAGATCCATCGGGTCAGAACATCGCCTCAGAGTGCCGCTCGAGTCGGAGTCGACGTGGTGGCGTCTCCTTCATATTCACCATGTTGTCAGTTACAGTACACCAGAGGAGCGAGTAGCGTAAATGTCAGATGATTCAGCGTCGTGTCACCGTACAGTTATTGCATTTCTCTGGAGTTGAACAGATATTTTCTTGTGTAAAATTGAAAAAAAAAGAAGAAGACTGTAGAAAACACCCCTGTACGTTTACGCTATACGAGAGAAACTAAATGTCAGATGATTCAACGCTGTGTCGCCCTTCAGTCGTCAGATAAGCTGAACAGTGTTTGCTCTGATGCAAAACAAACAGTTTAGAGGGACTATATGAAAAATAAAAGCCCCCAAAGGAGCAACTTACTGCACAAAACAGTCATTATGCTATCATTGTTTCACTAACTTCGTGTGTCTGTTTTTAGTTTTGATGACAGACTCGATCTTTGTCAGCACTGAGGAGACCAGATTTAATTTCTCAGCTGCTTTTTGCCTCTTTAAAATACCCCAAAGGTGTTCTGTTGCTTTCCAGTCAGGCCGCCTACTTGCCCAGGACGTAGATTTAACTTGTGGGATGTTGTTCTCTGGATGGTTCTCCTGCTGGAGTATTCCTCTTCTTCATCTCATCAGCCAGTATTCTGGTTCATCCTCAGACATTCATCTATCACCAACACGGGGCTGCAAGGTGGCGCAGTTGGGTAGCACTGTTGCCTCACAGCAAGAAGGTCGCCGGTTCGCGTCCCGGTGAGGACACTGGGATCTTTCTGCGTGGAGTCTCCATGTTCTCCCCGTGCAGCGTGGGTTCTCTCCGGGTTCTCCGGCTTCCTCCCACAGTCCAAAAA